AGAGTTGAGTATACGCATATAACTTCGGTTACAGAGTCGAGTACACGCACGCAGTTAGGTTACGACGAGATAATGACGGACGTGGCGCCGGGAACAAACGGTCGCGCTTGCAAGACTTTCTACGTCAATATTTTATGCTGACGGGGTGATTGATTAGGAATTGATCAATTTTCCAACTCTCTGGTGACAAGCACAGGTGTTTCCTGTGAGATCCCCAGAGTTCTCTGACTTGGGCGGAAACCGTTAAACTATTTATAGGCAGAGGTGTTTGACATAGACACCCAATGATGGGCCGTTATGTGGAATCTTTAATTTTTTGGCAAGCAGCAGCTCTTTGTCTCCTCAAGTTACAAGGTAGTGGGTTAGGTTTCTCTACCTGTTACGTGTGTGCTACGTGTGAGGAGCTTACACTTATTTTTTGACCAATTATATATAGTTTCCCCTAGCATTTTATTTCAGCTGACCAATTATCTATAGTTCTCCACCAGCGTTTTGTTTCAAGGAATTTTGGCAGGGATGTCTTTTAACCCTTAATCGTCAAAATGAGGATGATTTGAATGGTATCTCTTGCTCAGTGGCATGGGCACAATTTAATTGGGTTGTGACAACAGGCTCAAGGCCTGTTTGCATAGGGATACTTGAGAAAGTTAAGATGAACTAAGGAAGATGTGACACTACAAAGCATTCATTCTCTGTATGAAGATACCCTTCTTCCTTGAGGGCTAAACTACAGCAAGATAAAAGCCACTTAACTTCTGAATGAGAGTATACACACAAGGATTGAAAACACTAGCTTCACAACTTTACTTAACCTGCTTTTACTTTCCTAAGTATTCCCACGTAAACATGTCCTTTATTTACACCATCATATCTGCACCAGAGCAAAATGCTCATTATGCACAACGAACCAGGGTAAACTGACCTGCACTGTTACCCTAATAGCTTGCTTAAGTATCTAGAGCAGTGGCTACAACCCTAGTGTAGATACAGCCCAGAAACTCCACTCCTCAACATGGCCTTCACTCCCCCTACATCCGTGCTATGCAGGGCTTCACTTTTTGCTTCATATTAGAACTCAGCTCTTAAGGCTCTCTCTCAGGACTCAGCTCTTACAGGTCTAAGAGCCACCACTGAATGTTTGACCATCATTTATCACCACTACCCCCTGGAGAGAAATGTTTAAGATCTTGATATCAAAGAAGCAAACCTGTTTTAACTGCTGGTCTGAGTAGCCCAGCCAAGCACATGAGGTGGTGTAAGCAGGATATCCATGTGTTAACATCTGTTCTTCTGCAAAGAGAAAGAACATCATGATGAAAACATGGTTTTCTATTCCATGGATGGCTATGTTGTACGACAATTTTACTAAAACTGTTTCTCATGCAAATGAACTTAAAAAAATAGTGTTTTAAAACAGGACAGGTCAAATTTGTTGACAAAAAATGATCCTGTTCTCTCCACAGTCATTCCCAAACTCAACAGAGCTGCAGCCCAGGAAAAAAACCCCATTACAATACAAGAAGCAGCATCACCATGCCAACATGGCTGACGAACATTCATCACAGCAGGGACCAGCAAGGCAGCACAAATTTGTTCACCATATACAGCTTCCACCTCCCGCATGACTCATAAGGAAGCAATTTTATAAGATGCAAATGAGAACATCAGTTTCCAACTCCCAGTTTTCTTCTTAAAGAATGGGATTCTCACCCACAAGTACCATATTTAGGGTGTGGACACATGACAATTATTATGGAGAAATGCTGTAGTAAGTGTACTCAGTAAGAATGGGCACACAGCCAGCTCTTCCAAGCTACTTGCCCACAGCAGACACTATTACAGCACCTGGCAAGGAGGAGGCAAGGGAGCTGGTTTGCACCCAAGTAAGTGGGTACCTTTGGGATGGTACTGATTAGGAGAGCAGACACACAAGACAGTCAATGCAGTACCATCCCCATGCAGTAAAGTTTCTTCAGTTTTACCCTGGATTTGAATGACTAAAGTCATCAGCCTGAGCACCATGCATCTGCTCCACTTTTATTATGCAGAAAAGTCCATTTATTTCCCAGTGAACATGTCATGTGTCCATACCATAATACTAAACAAAGTATTTGGTCCCATTATGCTTCTAGAAAAAAATTATCACATATATTAATTTAATAGCTTACCTCTTTCTTTTTTCCCAAGTAGGCTATTTACGAGTATTTCTGCAAAGGAATGAAGGGAAAATATTACATGAATTCAAAGTACAATTCTTTCCCACCCCCACCACTCTGCTGTTTTCAGAAAGCCAGACGCTGATCCTCTTACAAGGAGTGAACTAATCCTCCACTAGACCCGCTGAAATCATTGAAAGCTCAAGGAATAAAGGACGCAAAAGGGAACCACAATCTGCCTCTTAACAGAAGGATGACTTACCATAAGCTTCTTCTTCTGTCAGTGCATCGGTGATATACCTGAAATCTATGCAGGATAACAACTGCTTGGGATCCTGGTCAAAGAATATTTAATGCGAAACAAACCGCGAAGAATAAGATGACATAATTACAAAAGGGCGATACTTAGATAATACACATATCAAAGCATGAGACATCCATCAGCATTTTCCTAGTTTCCCTTCCATAGAAATTGCTGTGTTCAGGTACATCAATTCACTGATTAGCCAACACAAAGATTCCAGTCTTGTACATAATTTACTAATATCAGTATAGATGGGTTCCTATCACCATGTGTGTTGTTATACTGGGACAGGGAAGGGTCTGTAACAATGACCTGATAAAAAGGGATGGTTTATCTAGTTGGGTATGGCCAGAACCAGCTTTGCACAACTACCTAGGAAGGGAAAGATCTTTCAGACCAGAAACTAACATCCACACCTTGCACAAACTCAGGTTTCTCGAACCTTGGCACATGCTGTATAGGTGTAATTTTAGCTTGGATACAAGCCAACATTTTACTCTTAATAAAGCAAAAACTTCAGTGCCCAACAGCCATCATGCCTCACACAGAACAAGATTGTCTTACCATGTCAACTAGTAGCTTCCACAGAGGCTAGAAAACAAAACCGATTATATAATGAGAAATGATGGATATCCATCAAAGCAGCATGCAAACAATTCCTTACAAAAAGTAAAGCCCCTGTGAAGCCCCAGTGAACTTGATGGTGCACATACTTCTGTGAACTAAAAGTTAAGCACATGCATAAATCACTACAGGGTCAGGACCTAACTCTGCAAAAGCTGGATAATTAGGAGGAACACCCACAATTCACTGTGTGCAGTAACATGCTTGTCTGCCAGGTCTAAATACATTACCTTTCCCTCCTGCTTAGCCCACAGATCCCACACAGCATTCAGAATGGCAGCTGTTGCCAAATGAACAGCCCCTTTTTCTGGACCAATCTGTGGGCAAAAGATAAAGACTCACATAGACACAATTAACAATTTACTATTAAGTGGAAATTAAGTCATCACATCAGTCACAATATTCAGCCAAACAAAATAAAACAAAAACCCTGGTAAAGGAAAAATGAGCCAGTGACATTAAAAGACAACCTTGTATTTACTGGGAAAGGTGGGACACATCTGAACTTGCTATGTATTAGTTGCAGTGTAAGAATGCCACAGTGGTAATCTCCATACTGGTCTCAGCTGGATTTTCCATTTCCAAAAACCCAAACTGAACAGAACCATTTTGTGAGCACGTGAGTCAATGAATGGAGAACAAAGAATGGGCAGAGAGAGGAAGATATCTGATCTCTGAACAGGCAGAAAGCACACTTTGGAACCCAGGCCTTCCTTCTGTTAGCAGATCTGTGTGGGTAGATACTAGCATTCACTTGGAAACCAAATCAACAGAGCTCTGCATGGGTAGAAGTTGAGTAGATATAATTGCAATGCCCCAGCTTGCGTTAAATTAATTTTCTTTTTCTACCATAACTGTACACAGAGGTCAAGGCCCTTCTGAGCCTAGTGGCCAGACATTAGTGTCTACAGCCACTGACACAAAAAAGGAGAGATGCGGCTAGCATTGCAGTCAACTTACACTTACTCCCCAATCTGAATTGACTAGGTTCCCATTTACAGCCAGGTCAAAAGGGGCACAAGTCCAAAGTGGGGCTCAAACCCATCCCTCTGGAACTGTTGCAAGATTCCATAACTGCGCTGCAACTACAGCCTCTGAATGCAGAGAGGGACTTAGGTGAAAATACGTTTATACATCTATTTCACATGAACACCCCAGATGCATCTTACCCATCGGAGCTGCCCATCGCTGGTGAGTTGCCTGTAGAAATTTCTAAAATTGCTGACAATTTCTTCCATGTCTTTATGAACCACGTGGGTAGAGAGAGCATTAACAGCACAAACAACTGCAAAACACACCAGGATATATTGCTGAATTATAACAAAACATTTAGAAAAATAATTCACAGTTCTTTTACCACCATTTCAGGCTGCAATGCTTTCTGAGTGTCTTAACCTAGTGGTTTGAACCAGCAAGAGGGAACCAGGTTTGACATATAACTTCAGCTCTGCCATGGACTGCTAGTGTCTTCAGCCAAGCCACACAACCACTCTCCCTCCTATGTTTCCATCTTTGTTACATGGGGTTCATAATATTTTCCTCAGAGGGCTGCCAGGAGGATCAATTAGTTGGTAAAGGGCTGTGAAGATGCCTCTATTATCTCCTGCGACGAGTTAAAAATCTAACCTACTAAAGTAACGTGTACTAGTAAAAATAGAACAGCTGCCCTAAAATGCAGTAGGAAAACAGCAGTTCCATGAATATGGTAGGCCTTTGGCAGGTATAGTACATATCTCACAAAAGAAAGGGCACTGGGAGCCACACCAAATTTATTTTTTCTATTATGTATTTTTGTTTCTGAGCATTATATAACAGTAGTTCCAACCCAGCTGTTTCAGCTCCCCAGGATCCTAATGGAAAAGTCTTGCTTGTTTCAGTGCCATATTCCACTATTGATCTCATCAGGAATTCCCAGCAGGGGGTTTTGTTAGCGCAGAACACATGCTAAGTAAGAAAGTATCTTCTTACGCACACTTTTCTAGCAGGCTGTAGAGGGCAGGGGGGCAATTACAGAAAGGACGCATGCATTAGGAATGTTACTATCATCTAAACATTTTCATTAACAGAAGAGACAAAGGAAATCTTAAGAAGAAACTGAACAGGAGATCTTAGACCAATCCTGCAAGCCACCATTGTAAAGGCACTAGCTTGAGATCTGAAGACCTGGGGTCATGCCTCTGTTCCATCAGACTTACCCACACGGCCATGAGCGAAGCATTTCTGTGCTTCAGTGCCCCATCTGGAAATGAGGACTAATACCATTTGCCCACCTCACTGGGGCATTGTAAAGACAAATACATGAATGACTGTGGGGTGCTCACACCCTACAGTATTTGGGGCCACTTAGGTAACTAAAATACCTTAGCTCCCATTAACTTGAACAAGCGGAGGTTACTCAGCATGATACCAAATCCAGGCCATGCACAAAGAACCAAATCCTAGCCTTAATAACGGCAGTGGTTAAATTGCCCAAGTGGATACATGAACAAGAACTGACACATTAAAGCACATTCAAGCTGGCATGCATGACTACATTCAAGCTGGCATGTAGCATATTGGTATATTTAGAGACTATTTTTATGAGGATACAGACAAAAGTCTTGCTGTTTTTGAGCAGAAACAGTTGTGAACATTTGCTTGTTTTCTTTTAGATTGCAATGGGCAATCCTTTTTTGAAGAGGAAATGGAATTAGTTCTTTAAATAAATATGGATCTAGGAAGACAAAGACATCATATAATCTGATCAAGGGTATCACATATGTTAGAATGGTTTCTTAGAGGTTGTCAGGCATTTACTAATCTCCAGACCTGAGTGGCAAGGGTTTAATGGATTACGATTGTTATTGTCATGCTGTGATCCAAGGACATTGCTAGCCAAAAGGTTACTAGACAGTAACATGTTTATAAGAGTTGCTTGGAGACCAGCATGAACATTTTCTAAGGAAAAATAGTGTGTATTAGTTATAGGACTTAAAGGTGCAAGACTTAAAACTGCATAATAACCTTAGGGCTTGGACACAGTTGTGTCCTCAATGAAAAAAAGCATTAAGTCACCCCAAGTTAGCTTCCGTTTACCATCAGCAATGTATAAGCAGTGACAGCAGAGTGAGTAGCTGATGCACAGCACCCACCTGCTCCTTTTGAACCCACAGTAAATTGTTCATAGGTCCACATATGAACAATTTAGGAAGTGAGGGATTGGACCTGCATTGCATCCCACTTTCTCAGGCAGTGTGTAAGGAAGATACAAGTCAAGATTCAGACATATGCTAATAAACAGTTGTTAACTTCTGACAAGGCCTTATAGGCATACAGTGGACATATGGAATTGTTAGTCTTTCAGTTGTTCAGCTGTTGAGATGTATGACCATATTGAGAATCTGGCTCTGTACTTGAGAGCTGTGCTTTCAATTGCTTATGCTTGCGTAATTTGTACATGCAAAAGATGAACATATACTTTGCAATGGTATAAGAACACAAGAACATAAGAATTGCTATTTACTGGCTCAGACCATAGGTCCATCCTGCCCAGTATCCCTTGTCACGCTGTGGCTGAAAGTGGATGCTGAAAGAGTGAACTAGGCATGATCAAGGTGTTTTTCCCCCACTAGTCCTCTCTCACTCGCAGCCTCCAGCATTTAAGGCATAAGAAGTTCTAGTTCAGACACTGTATCCCTAGTTCCTGTGCTCAATAGCTCGTGATGCCCTTTTTCCAAGAATTTGTCCAATCTTTTTATGTGCTATGTAAATATGGGTCAAGTACTTAAGCACCTGCTTCAGCCTAGTCCTCTTTTCTTTTTCTTGCCAGCACTGATAACACGGAGAAAACAAAGCTGATAGACAGATACTTGACAGTTCATTTTATTTCACTTTAATCAAGTCCCCAGATTTCCTTACCACTTAAATAGTGATTTCCTTTTCACTGATCCATAAAAAGTGGTAGAGCTCTAAAGGGGCATCTTTCTCCATGAAAGAGCAACAACACTGGTATTGAAAAGAAGCTAACATCAGTGAAACACCCAATAATCTGTTTGCTAAGCATCTTCTTCCTCAAGGGCTAGGGACAGAAATCACAAATAAACCAGTATAAGTGATTGGAAACTGGCTCAAATCTGTAACAGAACAGAATTTCGATGCACACAAACTGCTTTCAAAGAAGCTGAAACCAGTTTAAGATAAACCTGGATGGATGTAGTATCAGACCTAACTGAGTTAGGTTAAATCAGTTTATTGAACTTGTGTCAGATCCCCTCCAGATTCAAGTTAACTCTCAGTCCCTCAGCATCCAAGGATGCTTTGCACTCTCCTGCAAACCCCGCCTCACAGGATGGGCGGGCTAGCCCTGGCCCAAGCTGTCTGATCCAGCAGAGCAGGGAGGTGTTCTCTACTGTCCCCTGGCTTCTGGCTTGGGCCACTGTAGGCAAGTGACTGCATTTCTGGACTCAAAAGTGAAAGAATGTCTATTCACTTGCTTATCAGTTCAATCTACACATCTTAGATTAACCTGCAAAGATTGAATTGATTCAGCCTCGGGCTTTTTGACCGTCGGTACGAGGTTCTAGAATGTTATGCCTTAATGAGACAGAAAGAGAACCTTCTTGAGCACAAACCCTGGTATTAAGGGGACATGACACAGGGAAATTTGTGTGAAAATTGTATTCATTTCAGAGAAGAGGAACTTGATCCTGTAGGTTCCAATACATTTATAGCACACGCAAACATTAATTAGCAAAACAGTCCCATTAAGATCACTCATGTGCTTAAGGGCATGCTTGGAACAGAATGAGAGCATTTGACACTCTGTAAGATCAAGCTCACATTTATCACAGACATGCTTCCAATGGTCACCATTCAAACATGTTGGGCATCTGAGAGGTATGTTTAGATCAGTGGTTCTCAAAACTTTTAGATTGAAACCACCTCTTGGTAAATGCTGGCTTTTGGGGTTCACTTGTTTCTTGACTACAGAAAAATAATAGGGCAATGCTTCTGTGACAAAGAACTCAGAAAGACCACAACAGGTCAGAATGTTTTGTGATACTATGAATTCCTATTTGAAATTTCTGGGTTTATCTTGTGAATAACATATTAGTGTTTGGACATCTAATAGAACTAATGTTGTGCAGCAACTGGAACAAAAAAAATCTCACACCACCTGAATCACTGGTTTAGAACTTTAAATTATTAGGACAAACGAAAAGCCCCAAAACCTAGTCTGTCAAGAAAATGTACTGAAACTTTTCCAGTGTCCACAAAGTTGGATGGCCTTGTACAAATGGCACAGCTCACCCAGGGCTCCAGATGTTACCAATCAATAGAGCTAAAATGGCATTAGCATTTGCTAGTGTCTGTGGACAGGGCAAAGGGAGCTTTAAATGTAAGAGGCATATAACCTCTACTCCCCTTCCCTAAGAATAAAAACAGACATGGACTGTCCCAGACAATATCTTAGATATACATAGTAAAGTTATTGGATTCCTGAATTGCTCAATTGTGCAATACCTTCTTAATAAGTTAAACTGTGTAATAACTTCAACATTTATACATTAGAGAGAATATAAATCCAGTCACCATTTGCCTTCATTCCTTCTTTTTAAAAACTTTCCCAGTGCAGTCAACACTCATGCTGGTGTTTTACAAATATGACATACAATCCTGACCTTTCTAATCAAAGGCCTTGAAGCTGCAAAGAGAAACGAACAGCTGAATGCAAGTAGGTGGGAGGTCAAAGGGACTCTATAAATTAATCCCTGGACCTTCACATAGCTTTCTGTGGAATCAGGGCTTGAACTCAAAGCCAGTGTAGGCCACTGATACTACTGAAAGTAGTATCACTGGGGATAACAAAAGATTTGGCAACAATAAGAACTTACATGAAAAAGCATGACTGTTAACGGGATGGGATTTTTACCATCCTGTGGAAATCCCATCATGGTATGTACAACACTAATACACTCTTGCTGATGCTATCTTCCTTCATCTCTTCTAAATGTCTGTGCGCGTACACCAATGATCAGCAAGGGTAAAAACCCAATCCTGAATACTCTATGGCAACTGCAATTTTCAGTCACCCGTTTCCTGGTTTTATAAAGCAAGCAGGAAAACAGAGAAATGCAGGAGATGTTAAAGCTTAAAACATTCACAAGGCACTTGTGAGTTTAGAATCAGACAACTACAGTTAGGATCACAAGTCTGAAACAAGCTGTCTTATGGGAGTCTGTAAAGGGATTTCACAGGGCTGGTCAAATAGGTGACTGATTAGAACAAAGATCTAACACATTGCTTAACTTGCAGCCTCTACAACCCTGGACTTTATGGCCTTCTACGCTGTTCCAAGACCTGTCACTTAAAAAAAGATATTGTATGAAGGCAAAATAGTTCCCTGTATTTCCTTCGGAAAAGACCCCAACAACATTTTCCATTGGACTTGGGGCTCATTTGAATTTCAGGGTATAAGAATAACTTACCAACTTCTGTGCCTTTACCCAATGTAAATGTTAAGCCATAACCTTTGAGTCCGTCATGCGCATCCGTTTCGATTACAACATAGGCAGCAGAATAGTCAGGGTCCGGGTGCTAAATTGAAGACCAAAAGATTGGTGCGAGAAACTTAACAGAGGAAGATAGGAACCAATTCACCCACATCCTAATCACATGTGAAGTAGCAGCACTACAAAGGACTCCCCCAGGCAAGCTAAGTTTGGTGCAACAGAAACAGAAGCCTGGGGAACTAACACAAATCATCTCCTCCCTCCCCTGCAGTGTTTTTTAATGCCAGCCTTTTAGGGAGTGACATGGCTGAGGGAGTTACACAAATCCATTTGATGAGACTGAACATTAAAGGTTCACATAGGAGAATCTTGAGCCTCGGGAAGCTCATTCTTCCATTGACCTCAGCCGCTTGCCTCTCCCGGGACAAGCTCCCTTGGCGACTCGGTGCCCCTGCCAGGGCCCTGCAGCTGAGACCAGTATTGGGTACAGCCCAGTTCTGCGAGCCCAGGGCAGCGCTCTGGGACCGGGAGCCGCCCTTCGCTGCAGCGCTTACCATAGCATCGGAGCCATGGTGGCCCAGAGAGGTGGGGAAGCGCACGTCGCTGACAGCCAGCGCGGTGATCCGGCCCCGCACCATGCCGGCCCAGCAGCTCCCAGGCCACAGACACGAGAAAGTAATCGCTGGAAGCCTTCCACTCCCGGAGGCCAAGCTCCGCTCCGATTGGTACGCTTACGTCCGCCTCAGAGTTCCGATTGGCCGCTTCGGGCGTTCTAGAACTTAGAGAGACAGTTGTGGAACGCGGAGGCAGAGAGAGGGGAAACAGGAGGAGCTATGGGGGGGACAGAGTAGCGTTGGTGTAGCTGCTGCCAGTCTTTGCTTGTTTAAAGGGCTAATATCATCCTGCCAAGTTGCAGTTAGTCTCTAACTTTTTGCAGCCTTTGGATTGCGGGGATATGGTCTGGCTCCTAGCAATACCGACCAGCTGGAAAGTCGCCGTTTCACATCACGGTCTGAGTGTGGTTGCACCCAGGGGCAGGATTTGAGCCTCCTTCTTAATACTTGCGGGGGAGAAACGAATTAGTGAACGTAAAGCGCAAGAGAGCGTGCATATTATGGATGTCACCCATTTGTGACAAGACTGGAGAGAATGAGTCCAGGTTTAGCAACATACTGTCACTTCCTGTGTAAAACAGAGTTCATATTAACTCTCCTAGCGGCTGGTGACGACTTTTTTTTTAAAGACTCAGCTGCTGGAGTCATGTGAGACTTGGTTTTATAGCAGCAAAAACAACAACAAAAAGATAAGCTTCTAGCCCCCAGGTATAGGAGAGAAACTGTAACACAGGGCAGGAAGGGAGCTTAAAGATGAAACAATCATAAAGCTAAAAATATTTTAATAGTGTAAGAACTATTTTTTTTTGAAAAGCTAATAAGGAAACATGGGGTTTGACTCCTAATTTTTTAATGCTTAAACTTGCTGATACTGAGGGCTTTCTTGAGATGTCTTCTTAGCAACCAAAGTAAAATAGCTGTAATGACTAGGAAATTTAGTTGCCTGCAGTTTGCACGTGTCTACTGTCACAGGGTGGATACAATGGCAATTCCAATGCTTTTACTTTGGAAGAGGTATAAATGATAAAATTAAACGGGACTTCACACTAGCTTTAGTACTGTACTTTAGACAGCAAGACTACATTCTACTGCCACTGGCTATGAAGTATTAGAAATGCTACCAGCATTTGCTGTGAGATTTGGTGACCATCTAGATGAATAGACAGATTCAATCAAAGGTCTTCATGTTGAAATGGAGAACGGTTGCAGGTTAAAAGGATGGTGTTTAGCAGACAGAGACTAAGGGTAGGTCTGCCCAGTGCAATATCACCTGCAAGCGTAGGGCTTTGGTACAGCAACACACAATCATACTACATTACTAAGCACAATGCTGCTTCCCCTATCTATAGCTTGGATATCTATGCACAGCATTGCCTTGTGCCATATAGACATACCCTAAAGAACAAGACCATTTTCTGATATCCTGTGTAAAACTAAATATTGTTGTTTCAGAAGGAGGAACCTGCAATGGTAGGAATAGGTCCTCCACAAAGCTCAATATGGGTGAACCCAGTCTCCTACTTGGATTCCCATTAAAATGTTTAGGACTACACAAGCAACACAGAAGAATGTACATACAGAGTGCGCGTAAGATATTGATGAAGCACTCAGGAATATACTTCTCATGGCAGGGACCTCTTAACTTTATAGATAAAGTAGCCAACACTCCCCTGGATCTGTAAGTGATGATAAACATTTCTTAAGGTATGGACATCCAGACAACTTACTAGGAAGTAAATTAGCACAGCAGTTGCACTACAGTAAATCTTCCTATGCATGCTCTTCCCTGGTGGTAAACAGAAGTTAAACTATGGTAGTTTATTTCTCGGTGAAAGAGGGGTTAGTTAACAAACTGACATAATAAACCCCACACACTTTAGCAGCACAGTTGTTCATACATCCATATAGGTGCACACCCATAGCAAGCTGATCACTTCACAACAGCATATCAGGAAGCCCTAGCTGGTAGGAAAGGATGATACTGTCAGGCTATTGAAAAGGTTTTCCTAGGAGACAGTTCTGTAAAGCTCTTTTCCTGACTCTGCTACTTACCTACTGAGAGAACTTGGCCAGTCACTTTCCCTTTCTCTGCCTCAGCTTTTGTAAAGTGCTTTAAGATGTAAGGATGAAAGATCTAGCTGGTGCAATTTAATAAGGAAGGCACCTCAGAAACCCCACAGACAGATACTGTAGCTAGATAGTTTGATCAAAGGGAGCTTGTGTGTGGAACAGGTGTGTATTAAATAGTTAACAGTTCAACAGCTCAGACAAACTGGCTGACTTGGCAAGGTCAAGATACTGCTAGTTGGCTGAAACCCCTCTCTCAGTCCCTAGCTGCAGAGGGTTTACTGTTTGCCGACCACCCTAATGTTAGAACTGAAACCAGGGGAGTATCTGTTGGTAAGTACCATATATGCTTGCTATCTACTTTTCTTAATTCAATAACAGCCTTAAGTATTTGGGCTCTTTTAATGCCAGTTCCTCTAGAGGTTACTTTTGGCTTTTAATAATCTACTCATCTTACACTGTAGACCTAACAAAGCAATCAATCAGACTGTTTCCACACAAAAAAATCTCTCTGGAAGTAGCTGTCTTTCTGACAAATGTTTTAAGAAGATTAAATGTAATGCTTTCAAATTCAGTGCTTCTGGGAATGCTTGGTGTTCTGTGACTATACTATAAGCATTTGCAGGTTGAACATTCATTCTCTTGACTGGTTAGTACAGGAGACAGCGAGGCACCAAAGGAAGCCACTGCAGCCTCCCACAATGTGCAAGAGCAGGTTTCCAAGATTGTATTTCTGCTTTTAAGTAATCATAACATCGATCAATCATAAAATTAAACATAAGCATAACAGAGAGAAGGCGCATCACTACACTACTAGGGAAAAATCAATTAGCATGGTGGATTGGATAAATGAAGACAATCTATCACTAGTTGAAATCCAGGGAAAGTCAAGAAAAAATAAATTATGAGCGTATGCTAGGATTTTTCAGGGCCATATGTAAAATACACTGGTAGGTGCATCTCTCTCATAGTGCTTCCTTCTTGAATTCTAGCTGAAAGATTAAAGAATTGTGCAGCTGCAGCATAAAAGAATGTATTAGCAGGGTACCTTATAGTGCTCCTTTTACTCTATCTATTGATAGATACCAACTTGACCACTGTGCAGAATATTGTATCACATACTCAGATTCACTATTTTATACAGAATGTCCTTTTTAAACTTCCGATTTCTTCCCAAGTCCCTGTCAAATATCGATAGAGATTGGGCTCATTCTTTTTTGTTTGATGGAAAGTGGTATCGAAGACCAAAGCATGTTTCTACTCACCTAAAATAAGTAGAAAATTTACAAGAGGTGCTATTCCAGAGGAGAGTATGAAGTTTGAAAATTTCCATATTATAACAGTCATTAAAAATTTACCAAAATGTATGACTTCGTAAATGAAAAAATGTTTAAACAGGCAACAAAGTGTTGTACATACAGTAGGTATGCATTTAGGCTCTAATGCAACTGAAAAAAAAACCCCCAATGAGATTCTATAAAAACTCAGGCTCCTGATCCCTAAAGCACAAGCTAGAACCTTGTGTCAGGTATCAAAACTTTTTATACAGTTCATGGGGAAAATCAGACACCTTGGATTGAGAAACCCATACACTGAGGGAGGAGCTCCCTGGAGCCAACCAAAAGAAATAAACCACAGCACAGATGCCATCTAAAAAGACCCTGCTCTTTGAAATCTAGCATGACTTAAGACTGCAAGTAGGAGCCTCCATATACTTGGGATCCTGAATTCTTTGGCCTTAGGCAGCCATACCCAAATCTTTCGAACAACTGAGCAAGGCTTTTTTTTCAGTAGGAGAAAGAGGCAGCCTAATTTGCCCATATACACTGCAGCAACACTTCTGCATTTTCTGACAGGCTGGTAGAAATACAAGATTCTACATCTTTTGATAAAAGTTTAACATGGATGTTTTATGGCGTTAAACATACTAATATTTATAGTAGCCCCTTTTATTTTGGTATTAAATTTGGATCATACAGTCTTTCCACACTTCCAGTTTTTTTGGTGTCATAAATGTGCTTTAGGTTTCAGAGCCATCATCATAGATGAATGGCATATGGTAACTGGTCCATTAGTTATTGTTTCAGATTGTAAGCCTTGGTTTAAACTTCACTTCTTCAGGTCTTCATGATCATAAGAACTCAAAACATTTGAAAAATAAAAAAGAAATAAGAACATTCTATGCTTGCAAGATCTAAAATAGCCTTCCTTTTTCTCTAAAAAAGCAGGATCATACAAATAATTGTACTTTTGGAAGTTTAATTACTCAAAAAAAGTATGAACTTTTTAAAAAATACCAAAGCTGCAAGAACAATACACGATGGGAACAGCTTGCAGATCTACCACAAAGAAGTGTATGACAAAACTGATGAACAAGGTTTGAATACAGATTTTACCAGAAATATTACAGAATTGTTTCCATTTAAAAAAAAAATCAATAGTAAAGCATTGATTACACTGCAGGATATAATAAAAATACAATAAACTTTCTGTAAAAATAATCTGTTGTACTTTTATATTAGTTTGTTTGCTGTGGTTTAGAGAACATAAATTTGGGACTGGTTGTAAATGCCCATTCAACAGGAGTTGTCACTGAGATGCATAACATTTTATTCAAAGCTAAGAAGACATCATAGAATTAGACTAAGAAATTCCCTGAATGATTATACAGAAACAAGAGGAAACAATGTTTTACCTGTAATGAGCAATTATGAATAAGTAGAGGAGTTTGCTTTGACATTTTGCTAATGGGAATTCAAACTATGCCTGTCCAATATAGTGTCAGTTTTAAAAGGTTGATTCTGAATGATGACTGCTAAAGATTTCTGAAGTGCTTTAGGAAAATTTCCCCTTTCACAATAGGAACCATTTAAAATGAATGATGTCACTTTAAATTTCTCAAAAAGTATATGACAATACTTATGAAGGAAGTAGTGAAGCAATCCTTTAAGTTCCCTATAGCTTTCCAGCTAATTTTCCTCCTTATGTAGACAAAGTAGTTTGAAAACCAACTACTACTTCTTTTAATAATAAGATGCAAATCAAGAATTTTATTTTAAACCAATTCTGCAAAACAATTCAACAATACCATACTTTATAAAAATACTTAATTACATAATAAAACGCATTACTATTATATAAAAGTGTGAATGTGAACTTTAAAACTCTCGGTTACGGTAAGATCCACATCAAGGTCTCGAGGTGAAACAAATAAAATTTCATAAACATACAAACTTTTTGGAGAAGTTTTATAATACACTACCATTTACAATGAACACACTCATTAAGTTAGTGTTTTATTCCTTTACTATACAAATGTTATTACAAGGAATTATTCCATTCAGTAATTAAAATCCAAATAATGCCAGCATCATTTTCTAGCATTTTTGTTATAACTGTATTAATACACAAACTTTTATGATTGTGTTACCATTTTAAAATATTTAGAAAAATTACAATTCCATGTTTTTTATTATTTTTACATAAAGCCCTTTTAAAATTTGATACTCACAGATGAGATGAGGGAAAATGGGAAAATAACGGCACTGTTCTTACAGATCCATTTGGTAGAGGGATTCAGTACAAAGCAGAGTGTAAACACATGAAAAATAACTTTTAGTACCAGAACTACATTACCTACTTTGTCAGTTTTACAATGATAGCATGAATTTAATCACAATATGTGAAAAAACAATTTAGATATTCATCATTAAAGTACGAAAGCTTAATTGGAAACTTTATGCCAATTGTTAAACTGTAGACAATGCCATTGCTCGATATGTCGACAGTTGAAGAAAATATAGATGTAGTGTGATCTGAGCTGGCTTCCAACACAAGTTTGTCATCACAATATTAGGTAATATTAAATATATTTTGTCCCTCCAGATTTTAAACCTTCACATTTTTTTCTATTTATTGTGACTTAAATAGTTCTGTTGGGGGGGGGGGGGGGAGGAGGAGAGGGAGAGTGTGTGAGAGTGTGAGAGTCTTTATATTCAAGAAAAATTAAAAGTGCAATCAAATCCCTGAAATGAGACATTTTACATTTGTGGCACTGATCCCTGTTAATACATATTAGCTACGTCTCAGTACCAAATCTGTCTCAGACTGGACTAAAATGTGGCTGTTTACCAGATTAATTTCGATTTTTCAACAACCTTTGTCTTTTCACACAAAACTCATTGTAAGATTGGAGCTTAAAAGATTAAAGAATTTTCCCTCTGATTGTATAGTATGGTTTCAAGTTCAAACAATTTTTTTTCAATGTAACTTATAAAATATTACCTCATTTTCTAGTTACCTTCATTATTCTTAATTAGCTACGCAGAAAAACAAATAAAAAGGAAAAAAGAAAATCTCTCATGCTACTTTCCAGTTACATTAATACAAGTATTAACACAGTGCATTATGCTCTCCAATTCCACTACTCAGGTCTATCATTTAATCAAGTTTGTCATACACTGCTCAAAGTTCTCTTTTAACCTTGTCTACCCTAATTAAGTCCGTGCAAAAGGAAGCTTAAAATCAAGATTATGAATCAGTATCTCAAATATGGTTGTACCATTTTTAAATGCACTCCCCCCACCCCAAATTCTGAACACAGGAAGTGTTATAGAATTGGAATGGAACTGTTTGGTCCCGTAATCTTCCTTTGCTTAAAAACTTTTTGTCCGAAACTTGCAGCATGTATTTCCAGACAATTCCCCTTCTAACAAAGCATTATTAAAACATAAGGGAAATAAAAATTTTAAACACACATTTTTTTGATATGGTCATGCCAAAACTCATTTTATCCTCCATTACTTTTAGAGAGCTTCCTTTGGACCCTAAAATAAATTGGAAAAAACCCAATCACATCATTGGTAAGTTAGGGTATAACACTTTACAAGTGGTTTTGTGCAACTGTATTATGCAATTCCAGTTTGCCATTAAAAGCGTGCAGAGTGGTGAAAATTCTTTCCTGCAATTACTTCAAAAAAGCAAGGAATTCTTTGCAAGTTCTTTGCATTTGGCAGATTTGTGCATTTCATGTAGGCTGTTGGCTTATAAATTGTCTCCAGGCTGGTACTGTGGTTCTGTAGCAGTAAAGTAGTCTTCCAAGAAAGACTGAATATATTCAAAAGTTGGTCTTTCATCAGGGTCCTTCTTCCAACATAATTTCATTAACTCATGGAGAGACTCTGGACAACCCTGTGGACAAGGCATCCTGTAGCCACGTTCTACTTGTTCCAGAACTTCCCGATTCACCATCCCTAAAATAAAAGAATTTCAGTTGTGAACATTACACATGAAAATAAATTCCAAACAACTGTCAGTCTTTTTCTGGCTTTAGATACCAACACCTTCCTATTGAAAAAATATTTTAATCCTCTAAATACTTCTGGTATGTTTGGGGAATATTTTTTTCCCCCTCAACAGGAAGCTAAATGAAGCTATCTATCTACCAGCTTCATCTGGTACACGAAGACAAACTCCTTCCAACAGCAGGAGGAAACAGAACTGGTTCAGTATTTCCCAATCATGAAAAACTACAGCAAGAAACCTCAAAGGAAGAGGAAGATTTTGAACAGCTTTGAGAACAAATGTAAACTGAACAGTTTAAGAAGTTGCAAATAAAAGAAATATCCTTTTGGTGTTCATAATATATACCCTATTATATAATCTTCATAACATACAATCCTCTAATAATGGCTTATTTAATTATTTCTTACCTGGATATGGCACTCTACCCTTTGTTACTAATTCTGTCAGCAAAATTCCAAATGACCACACATCTGATTTGATTGTAAACCGACCATATAATGCAGCCTCAGGAGCTGTCCATTTAATTGGAAATTTGGCTCCTGAAACAGTGGAGAGAAAAATAATCATTTCCTGCATAAATACCAATTGCTTATATGCAAGTATAACTAATACTCTGAAATTAGTTATTACACTGACAAGATTTTAATTCAATTAACAAAGTTAAATTTAAGTAGGGTGACTTGACATTCTTTTAATATAAAGGGATTTTTCAGACTTTAAAATATGAAAACAAGAAATAATGGTCGAACTTAAAAGCAGTGATTTTGGGTGGCCAATTTCGTATTTTAAAAGGATGTAACTTTCAGAAATTCAAGCCCTTTAAAATGTCTCAAGATGGTCATGCAAAATACCTAATAATTCTTTAAAATAAGTGATAGTTATCAAATTATATTTTAAGAGATTACTTGTAAAATGATGGCTGTAAAAGTTAAAAGCAGAAGAGGTCAGACAACATTCTTAACATTTATTTGTTCACAATTTTTTAATTGTATTGATAAAGTACAATGATGTTATGTTACTTATAAAGCTTCTAACAGGTCAGGGTAACTAGATATGTTTATCCTGTAAATAAATTTGTCTCACCTTGTCTTGCAGTGTACTCATTGTCCTCTATTAACCTTGCTAAACCAAAATCTGCTATTTTACACACAAGATTGTCTCCTACAAGAATGTTAGCTGCTCGAAGGTCTCTGTGAATGTAGTTCATTCTTTCAATGTATGCCATGCCATCAGCAATCTTAAAAAGAACATTTTATTAAAAGGGTTTTATTTATGATCATGTTCATTCACCAAAATGTTACATATAAGTTGATCTTTTTAACTCTAGTTTCACTATATAACTGCACAAAGTGTAACTTTATTAGAGCTTAACATTACTGATTTTAATAAAGCTCATTAGTTTAAAGTGCATCTACTGACATATCGTTTATGCCTTGCAGCAAATTATAAAATTTAACAGAGGCTATAAAAACCATCTAGTAGCTATATTACTCATTTATCTTCAGTTGATATATTTGTTTCATGTTTTTAACATTTTCTATGATGAAACCACATTTTTAAAGTACCTGAGCAGCCATGTCAACCAACTGTGGAAGCTTTAAGTATTTCCCTTCTCCTTCCTTTAGGAAATCTAGCAAGCTACCTGTAAAAGATCACACGTTAGAAAAAACACAAATAAATATGAAAAGTTGAAGTGGAAACTCCAGAGGGAAATTTTTCAGACACATATTAGACATGCCCAACCCACAGTCTTAGTGCATTTGAAAATTTCCCCCCAAGTTTTTCTTTAACCAAAACCTAATACTGGCCTTATATAACCTAACAGCCATCATAATTACAATCAGCAAGTTTCATTAAATTCTTTATGTTCCTCTGAAGATTTTTTTAAAGACTATCTTTTCCAGCTCTATTTTGGAATATGAAGAAGTGAGAGACAGAAGTACATGCAAAGCCAAGGCATACAAATATTGGCCTTCAGCATAAAATTCTGCTGTATCAACTACTGGTACAGTGTTTTGGGTGCTAGTGGGAGTTTTCCAACATCTGGCCCAAATTTTAATTTTTCTCCACAAAACCTTAATATTAATCAAATGTTATGGTTAAATATGGAAAACTCAAAGGCCAAGAAGTTCCCAGCTTAACACTATTATACATTCTGTAACAGGGAGCCCGGGGCTCCTGTTATTTCAACAGCATGCAGCAGGTTAAGCTGGTTGTGCAGGACCACAGCAGAGGAACACAAGCTGGCCTTTAAGTAAAGGGGAAGCCCGTGTGTGTGGCTGGGGAGCCACAAGACAGGAAGAAGCAGGGCTTTGAGGCATGTAAACCTAAGGCCTGAGCCAGAAGGGGAGTCTGGCCCTGCATGCTGTAGGG